TTTCATTGGCAGTGCCACAGTTTTAGGATGACTGTGTCCAAGCCAATTTCAGTTTCACCAGACTTAGTAATATTGTCTAAGGATCAATTTCAAAGCATGTGTGTGTATAGAGCATGTGAAAGCCTGGGTGTTTGTGTGCATTTGAGTACACTAATATTGGAAGCTGTTCTTCCTGGAAAGCTGCCAGATGAGCGAGCAGCTAGCACAGTAAAGGGAAGATGGAAGAACAAAGTAAATAGGGTACACCGGAGAGAATCATGATGCTTGAGCAGTATTAGGACATAAACTCAACTGCTGCACATGAGAAAATACACACATACAGTCACACAGACATACTCCCTCCTCCAAACCCATGTTCCCATAGCTGGAACTATTTTCTTCCACACTTCCTGCTCCTTAATTGTTTCTCCTATTCACATATTTTTTATTGCTGTGGTGCTTTTCAAAAAGCAGAGCTTTTGATCTTTTCCTACTTCATCTTTTGAAACACAGCTCATCCATCAGTCAGAAACACACAGGCAATGGTGATATAAGTGGAAATAGATGAGCTAATTTCGACAGATGATCAGGACAGTTGCAAATGAAAGTAACAAGGCTCACGGACTGATAACGATCCAAACGGTTTCTACATGCGTAAACAACCGCAAACAAACAGTCTTGATTGCTATAATAAGTGCACCTGCCAATCTCTGAATGGTTTTCAAACACTTCTAAAGAACTAAAGCTCAGCTAGCACAGATGGATGTTAGTAGTCAGCAGATGTACTGAGACAAAGTAAGAGAAGATGATGAGAGCACAAATAGAGTAGTATATTCACCTCAACTCAGTGATCACAGGCATAATGAAAGACAGTGAGAGTAGATGTGACCAGCAAATAGCAACACACTGGATTAAGTCAGTGAGTAACACACTACAGGATGAACAGCAAATAGTGGGTCGGTAAACAGGCAGATTAGTCCGTTCACTGGCAGAGTGCAGAGACGACAACAAAAAACCGTCAGATAGAAGCTGATGCTAAACTTGCTGATTAGAAACAGAGCCAGTTAAATGACATATGGAGGTAGAAATTATGGTAAAGGACTCAATATTGATGTGTTTTCATTTCAAAACTAGCTACTGTCCAGAAAACACCTCAGTTAATAATTCAGCATGGTCTCCTCATAGGCATCATCTCTGACCAAGGAGTCTGTCTACTTTTGACAGTATTGTCTGGTTTTCCTGAGCTCCTTAATTCTTTCTTTCCTTTCTATCTGTGAGAGAATTTGCTTGCAACCTTAACTAATGTTCAGTGCAGATGAACTATAGTAGTGAAAAATGCTGTTTTGGCCAGGTTAAACTGGATGGTTTCTCAGCAACATAGAGGCTTAAAAAGGTGAATGTATAGCGTTGTAGGTTGGTTTTCATTCCATCACCCTCCATTTTCAGAGTCAACTTTGATTGCGGTCCTCCTTTGCATAACATCCCATTAATTGGTGCTTGAGCAACATCTTTTCCCTGTCCTCAACACCTGGTAAAATCACTATGACATTTTAGTGTTTTATTTCTATGAGTTACTTCACAATGATTGACAGTTTGACACAGTATGTAATTGGCTGCCAGGTCTATTCAGTCACCATGTAAATAATAGAGATAGTGAAGGGAGACATTCTTCTCATGTCTATTCCTTATGGAAACATATATTTATTACTAAGACATTTTTTTTATATTTAATTATAGCTGGCTACAATAATTGTCTAGTTATAAGCTATAAAAAAAAAATCTTAAATTAATTTTAAAATAATTTAATACAACCTTACTTTAATGAGCACATTGGAGTTCATACAAATAATAACCTGTAACAAATCAAATTATGCATAGGACAAGGGGGGGAAAAAAAAAACAAAGAAAAAAAACAAAAAACATTTTTAAATAAATTCACATTCAATTTTGTCAGGTTTCTGCAGAAGGTCTGAAGTCATGTTCTTATTTATTAAATAATTAAATAAATGAACAATTCCTTCGCTCATAGACCAGAATGTGCACTGACAGGACTTCTTTGCAATAAAACACAAGCTTAGCTGAAAACCTGGCTTTTAAATTGTTGGTTGGTCTCCAAATATTAACGACATGCCAGTATTTATCAAGCATTTCAAGTCTTAGCCACTTTGAGTAACACCTGTTTAATTGCTTGGTAGCAATGGCAGCTCTATGTGAAGGTGATGGTGACAGTCATCTCAAGCACCTGAATGAGAAAAAAGGGAATTTAAGTGACTTTGAATGTGGGATGGTTGTTAGTGCCAGGTGGGCTGGTCTGAGTGTTTAAGAAACTATATATATACTACAATTTTCACACAACACCATCTCTCGGATTTATAGAGAATGGTCCAAACACAGAAAATATGCAGTTGCAGATGTGTGAACATACCCCGTTTATGTCTCTGAGATTATTGGAAAATGAACAGACACTTCAAACAGACTCACCAAAATTGGAAAATAACAGATTATAAAACAATGTTGCCTCAGTAAATCTTGAGTTCAGCTGCTGCCTTTAAATGGTACCATCAGAATTTGGTAACGTGAAAGCATGCATTAATCCTTCCCTGTATCAAAAATTCAGGTTCTTGGCAGTGGTGTTATGTATCTTCTCATGCCCACTAACATCAAGAAAATGCACAATGTCACAAAGCTCAAATCTTCTCAAACAGTAACTTGAAAATAACAATGAGTTCACTGTACTTCAGTGACTTCCATGGTCGCAGATCTCAATTTAAAGGAGCACATTTGGGGTGGAATGGTAGATGCATGGATGTGCAGGAAACCTACGGTAAAGTAATGCTATCTTGTCAGTGTGCACAAAAATCCTACTCAAAAATAATGTTTTTGAGCAGGAGGGGTTAACTAGGTATTAGCTAGCTGTTTGTAATAAACCTGGTTTGTGTATTTCCATGTTTTTTTTTTTTTTTTTTTGTAACATTGCTTAAATGGTATGATAGCTTTTTTACAAAACCTGGGGTGCTTACAGTAAAAGCTTAATATTTTAATAAGCACTGTGTAACCTTAATGATTATTGATGAGTCTTAATTCAAATGGAAGACAATTTAGAACCCAAGAGAGAGCAGTAATTTAATTTTTATTAAATGAAAACCATTCTGAATTGGGCGTATGCATTGCTTTGCAGAAGATTTAGTTAATGTTGACTCTTTAAAATGCAAGTGTGCACTGTGTAAGATCTGCCTTTTATTTAGGGATTGTTATGATAGTAAGAAATAATGTAACCCACTCAAGACTACATTGAAGATATAAACTGTGCACCCAGTGAGACAGGAAACAAGAAACATCAGTAAAACTTTGAGCATAATCACCCACTGCTGGCATACAACTAAGTTTATAACTTTGAATGCTCCAATCATCTAAAATTCCATGTGTCTGGATTAGCTGGGCAAAAAAAAAGGGCTTAGGGAAACTACTGTAGATCTAAGCTTAAACATAGGGATTTAAAAATTATATCTGAGGCTGGGACAAACATTACAACTAGAATTTACTTTAAATATTAAAAAAATGACCGTATAGCAGCAGAACACTTGATTTAATAAAATGCAAAAAACAACATTTTGTCTAAGTTGCACTCAAATCCTAAGTAAATATTATGAAAAGTATTGATAGCCTTCACTGAGCTAAGGTTTGGTATAGAACATGTCAGATATCTTCTATTTCATTCAAATAGCTTACATAATAAGGTCTTACTCTTGACTACACATGTATAAAAGCTTTTACTTATGTAGTAGCAACATTTATAGATACATATTGCAATCAAGATTTTGAAACTCCTTATTAAAATGCTACTTTGATGCACATTTGCGTAAAATATATGATTTATAGAAAGTCATATTGGTCCTTCTTACAAGACTACTAAACAGTATAGGACATGATGCACAGACAGCGTGCAGATGGTATAGAATTTTAATAATGGGCTGTGATGAAAGTGCGAGAAGCAGATCCAATTTCATGGATGTATCCCTCTAAAAATGCTGGGGCATGTGTGGCTGATCGTTCTCTATTATTGGACTGTTTTTGAGCCACAGGGAAACGACTGTATTTCTAATAAAATCAAATGTGGATTAGACACACAAGAGGGGATCATATTGTGTGGGATTTTGTGTAAAATAATGAAAGTGTAACCATTCATAGAAAAGGAATGTAAACAGAGAATTTGAGAAGTATTTCCCAGTGTGAGCGGTATAGCAGTTATGCATTATGGATATTTTTTCACTTGGATTCTGGATAGAACTCCCCACTAACCATCACCCACACGTAGGAGACTGTATTAAACACTATGTCAGGTTATCACATCTTTCATACTCGTAATGGTTCCATGTAATTATCTTCATGAATCCAAATGGTTTCATTCAATCATAATTCCTGAATCTAACTACTGCACAAATGGAATTACCTCATACAACACCTTGAAACCCAGACAGATAGACAGAGAGACAGATGGATCACATTGTATTCAGGAACAAGTTTTATCCAACACGTGCCATCATATTAGTAGTCGATGTGGCCTAGGCAAAGGATTGAGTGTTTGAGCAGAACTGAGGTTGAGCAGCTGCTGTCGGGTTGGTGATGGAGACAGGTAGTGCATGTTTGCATATCCATAAATACACATGTACTAAAGAGACTAAGGTGCAGAATTACATTCAAGCAATTTTAATGTGATCAAATGTGATAAAAATATTCATTTTTAGAAAAGAAAGTAAAAATTGAGAAAAATAAAGGATATAGTGTACTGACAGGCATGTTGATCACCTTTTCCATCATTTATTGCTTATAGGACAAAAACACAATAGCTTCTTTGTGAATGCCTTTTTGATCATATTCAAAAACATTGCAACCAATGAAAATTGGGACTAAGACTGTGTGTGATATGTGTTTTTTAAAATATTCTTTCGGCACTAGAGGCCTTTAGTTTGATAGTAGGTAGACAGGAAGGAGGGGCAAAGAGAAGGGGAGACATTCGGCAAAGGTCACTGGATCCGGGACTCGAACCCGGGACAGCCGCCTCAAGGACTACAGCCTCTGTATGTGGTCACGCTCTTAACCCCTACACCACCAGCGCCACGTGTGTGATATTTTTACAAGTTTCATTATTTGTTCGATTATTTGCATGTTGTTGTTAGCATGTATTTTAATATTCTTCAGAATATTTTTTCTGAGAATGTGATTTCAGTGATCTGTAAAGCAATAGTATTGTTGTCAAGATGGAATCCTTCAAAAATAGTCCAGAATCTTTGCTTAAGTGTGTGCCTCCAAATCAAACTAACTTTAAATATATTTTGTATATAACATTACAAAACAGTCATATTCAATATAATAGAATATGCGTTCCGATGAGGCTCGTTTGTCAGATTAAACAACTTTTAAGGCTATGTTTAATACCTTAAACTTTTATGGTAGTAAAACATACTTTTCATTAAGAACACATTTCTGTATCAAAAATGTTTTTTTTATTGGTCTGATGTAATATTCTAATCATAAATGCCATGTTTTCATTTGCTGTAAGTTAAAAATCATCATAATTAAACTACAATGATAACAATGGTTTGTTGATCTAACTGGTCAAAGTAACCTCTATTTTCCTTTTGTCAAAATGTGATTGTTTGGTTTTTATAGCTTAAATCACAACAAAACCCTTGCTACAGCAATGTAATGTACACACTCTGCAACACGCCAGACCCTCTGCTGTTCCAAGATGGCCAGTATTTTAAAAATGAAGCACTATATAACTGCCAAATCCATCAATCAAACCTGACAGTAGGTTTCTATTGCTTCAAGAAATGCTAATAGGACCACAACACAGCCCTTTTGAGACAATCTTTTGGAACCGATATATACAGTACATGTAGTATCACATCAAACGGTGCCGGTGATGTGGATATACACACAATTGACAAGTTCTCCTTCCTTGACTTTGCTTTTGCAAACTGGGTTATCAAGACCTGAAAAACAACTCTCTCAGCAGCTTTGGCTCAGTGGGCATCAAAGAAAGTGCCAAAAGCGGTTTCTTACTCTTGGATGTTCTCAGTGAATTTTATAGTTGTTTGATTTAAAACTGACCCACCTCCTTCAGTTTTGAGACAGATAAGCAACCAGTAATTCGAACATTTTTATATGGTCTGACATTTTTTTATTGTTGTCTCTCTCTCTCTCTCTCTCTCTCTCTCTCTCTCTCTCTCTATATATATATATATATATAAAGGGTCAAGGTTTTTGTTATACCTGCAAACATTCGTGGACAAGTGGGCGAATAAAAATTCATTCACAACTTCTCCACTCCCCTGAACTTATGGGTCTTTTGTTTATACCTTTAAATACGACCCATAGGAGCTTCCAATAAACTAGGGCTCCTACAAGGAGCTTTAGTATTGCATAGCTCACAACTAAACGATCGTTTTGGAACTTTTAGATCCTGCAAATACAGCTGATATGAGTGTTTCCACATCTGAGGAAACATAATTCACAGGTGTTTCCTTTAATAAGCCACAAAGCCGTCTTAAAGAGGCAGGAGGTGGAGAAGACTTTAAACAATGGGACACTGCTTTAAGTATGACAACTGCTTATTTTACCTTTGGGCTATGTTGCAGCAATAAAACAACACGGTATTATCGCACATCTGTCACTTCATGGTTGGCTTTAGGTCAGGGTAGGCAAACAAACAAGTCCATTTCGTCTACAGTGCCTCCATCATATTTACTCATACTACTGTACACGTTACATGTGGTCACTTTTAGAACAAATTGAGATCAGATATTCTTTAATTTATTTCTTAGTCATCATTCAGTTTCAAACAGTAGATTTCTAGAAACGCTTCTTGAAATACAACCCCAGTAGTTTGTAAGGCGAAAACATGGTAATTGTCCACACAAATTTTATCTGCAGGATGCTTAGTGTAGAAAAAGACCAACTGAATAATTGGTTTTGTAATTTTGGATGACATTGGATTGTGAATATGTAATTTCCGTGGTAAAATGGATGTGTAGCTGCAAAATGTACCAGTACTCATCAATTAAACAGAAGTGCATATCGAATGTTTTGGGGTAGACCTAATTAAAAACAGCAAAATCTACTTAAAGTCATGCAAATTAAATAAGTGCAATTAAACCAGAGCAAATTATGTATTGATCTAAATCCTAATTTTGTTTTTCAAGACTTTCAGTATATGAGGGCAATTCCTTTCATTAGGCTTGAAACTCCATATGGCTCTTTACTTTTCAACACCATCTTCCATGAACTAGTAATAATTTTTATCATGCACAGGGAGTTGTACAGGGCACTTACCAGTGATTATTAATATCGTATCTGCTTTTTCTATTGCCAACTGTTTTAATGATAAGGACTCAAAACCAAGAAAAACCTTCATTCAATGGCCCTCAAGCTTCATTGAGGTATTCATTCAGAAAATGAATACTTGAATATAAAGACTAATTCTCTTAATGTTTGTTATATGCAAAGCAATCATAATTTTTTTCATTCCACATCATCCCTTTGTATGTAGAGCAAGGATTCATCTTAAACCTGAGTGCTTGAATCGTCACAGCTGACTCATTCAATTATCTGACTCACCAAGCCACTAAGTCCCCAACTGTGGGCAGCATGTGGGACAATGTCTACACAAACATACACTCAGAAATATACATATATGCTGTACATATACAACAGAGGAAACAGTGTTCTTTCTTCTTCCTGAACAGTGTTTTACGTAAACAGAGCATCTGTCTCTGGTGCCAAATATAAGATGGCTCACGGAAATAGACACCATCTTATCATGTGTGCAAAGATGAGCTCTACCTGTGACGCCATCTTTAGAACAACACCAAGCTGCGAAAGCATATTGGCAGCCCAGTGTCGCTGAAGGGATGAAGAAGGTGAGCAGTGTTATGCAAATTATGTTTGGCTGGTTTCGTTCACTCATGACCAAGGCAGTATAAATATTTTTAATAATGCCTTAAAATACAAATAAAAGTTAAGTCTTAGCTTGAGCATTGAGCTGAATTCTGAATGTATACTATTTCCTGAGCCATTTTTAAGAGATGATAAAAAAGAGTTTTAAATGAAGCAATGAACTTTCTTTTTATCTTTTACAGCATACAGGAGCGTCACTGATTTATAACTCTATACCATTAGTCAGCAGGATGATGTAAAAAAATGCAACAGCTTTCTGAGAATCAAGAACATATTTTAAACACATTGTTCTTTTATCCATCAACTATGAGCTGCTTTGCTGACAGATGAACCCTAGCAATTCTTTGGAACCCAGGAGATGCTAACTTGCATGCAATAATTTTGGAGGAAAAAAGATTAATAAAGTTGTGCTTAGCTGTTAATCTTGTGGTACGTGCTTTAACTATATCATGCATGGCAAATTCTTTAAGATATACACAAGAGGTCTGAGCCTGAAACAAAGAGCCAGCTCATCACTCTTCTGAAGTTTTACCAGGGACAAGAAAGCTAATAGATGTTGCAAAGATTCAATGAGTTAGTAAGCCTCCAAGATGTGTTGACGTATGTAGTTTTTTCTCTCATTTTGTTAATTCTCACCCATTGCTGCTACCATCATAAGGATGATATACGACCAACGGGTAGGTCCTATGAAACACAAGATTGTCCGCGGGTGTCTGTAATTAACATGAGCAGGTACACACAGAGAGCCTGCAGATCTGACAGTATTCCCCTTGAATGGGCTGAGAGGGCCCTGGGACACCATTACCCTAACTGATGAGGGCTATTTCTCATTCCTGGCCAGTCACTTTGCAGCCATTAGTGTGTGCATTATCGACCTGTAGAGAGGTCTTTGTGCTCATGGGGAAACACCTGCAGGTCAAATCATCCCACATCCCCTACCACTCCACGGTTCTCTCCAGCCCTCATCAGCAGGCATGAGATTAAGGAGAGTGAAGGAGTGTCTTCCCCATGTGGGAGACGGACTGACAAAAGAGAAAGTGGGATAGTAAATGTGTGCACTGAGATATGTGGAGTGCGGGTGTGAAAAGATGGACAGTGCATGGCTTGAGTAAGTGTAAAAAAGCAAGGAAGATAGAGGTGGTAAGTAAAGCGGATTTCCTTTAAACACTTTCAAAACAGTCTTCTTGTTTACAAAATCTTGCAGTCAGAAATACAGTCAAAGCAAATCATTTTGAATAAATACATTTGCATTCATTAGGTAAACCAGTATAGACCCAGACTTAGCAATTAATAGGTCTGCCATTGCTCTATATTATTCATATTTTATTGAGATTTTCCAGACAAAACAGAACTATTCTTTGCAGACAGTTTTGCAAAATAGAAGAAAACTTTTAAGCCTTGAGGATATATCTAAAGGTGTAAGGGCCCATTTGTAAAAAAGAGGACAAATACCATTCTTTAGTTGAGATAATCCATAAATACAGCATGCCTCTTAAGTTGCTCGAATGTAAGCCCTTTCGGTTTAAAGTAAAATTTCAAATGCTAGTTTAATAAAGCACAGAGCACTGAAACAAGCAGTCATTAAAATAGACATGGGAATATAAAAAAAATGGCAAAAACATTAAAACGAAGGTTGTCAGATACCTTGTTATAGTGTTTAATACATTTTTAATATAAACTAAGACATCTGTAACCCTAGTTTTACTTTGTTGTTGAATTGAGAAGAGCGAACTCTGGCAACACAGTGCGACAAAAGGCCACAATAAAGGCTAATGAACAAAACAAAAAAACAAGTAAAATAAAGCATCCTTCACATTTTTTGGCATTGCTGAGTCAAGTAAAAGCGTTAACATGATTTTATCTTACATTGCAGAAATGCAATCTCAAACTGAAATTTTAAATTCAACCTTTCATTTGCATAAATTAATTTGGTGGGGTGGAAATCCTGCATTCACGTATTTATTTTTAAAATGATTGGTGTCATAATTACCTAAAAAAAACAATAGAAACATTTAACTAAATAATTTCAGATGTTATTTTTATTGTTTATTGTATTGTTACTTTTTTAAAGCAACATATATTGGAAATCAGAGTGTTAAAGAACTTTT